GAATATACTTACCAGTAATGTTAATGCTCACCCACAGCTCTTCTGGGAGGATCTAAATCGTTGAAGCATCCTCCTTTGTTTCCAGCTGGGAGCTGGGGCCTGTCAGTCCTGTCAGCCACAAGGACCTGATGTAAGCCACCCTTGGTCAAGTGGCAAAGGGATTTTTTAAGAGTTATTTATCAAGTGGGGGAAAAGATATAATCAGACTTTTTAGGGATCATTTGATACAAGGTCTGCATTGACCAGGAGAACTAAAACAGCACTGTGGCACCCCAGTCAAAATAGCCACAAAGTGATCACGATGTCTGAACTGCCTGTCATGAACTGGATGTAGTCAGATTCAGAGTTTATCACGTTGGGCATCTAGGGTTCAGTAGGACTTGGAGGCCCAAATAACGTGCTTGAGAAAGAGGCTCAATGGTCTATGGTCTTCACTAGTGATCTACTGTCTTCAGCACTGCCACTCACATTACTTTCCCTCTGTTGCTTTGCACCTATGGCCTCAAGGAGTGTTCCATTTGATCAGCTGACTGAAGAGGAGAGAATCTGTGCCTCATTTACAGATAATTCTGTCTGATACGCAGGAATCATTCAAAAGTAGACAAGGTAGAGAGCAGCCTCATCTTGGGCTGCCCTGAAAGACAACAATGCAAGGGTTTATTTACAGTGGCCAGAACTTTGAGAAGTGCATTTTACTTGTTCACTCTGCACAGGAGAAATGTTCAGATAAGCATTTCACTCTTAATGGAACTCTAGACATAGATATGCCTTCACTTTACATGACACTCCTGTCAAAACTAACATTCTTGCCTACAGTCAATGGTTTAACTGGATGGCATGAAACTTAGAAGAAACATGATTGGAAAAACTAGTGACAAAGAAGTATGAGTAAAGGGCAGACCATTCTAAATGGGCCTAAAAAGTGAACATATTTGTGTCTCGTGAATGTTAATCAAAAGGTCACCTCAAACAAAGAGAATTTTAATAATCAGTAGATAAGACAGCATGGCATGGCATGGCATGGCATGGCATGGCATATGGAAACCAACCAGTTTTTTTCTCTAGCCAATATCACATCTGCACAAGAGACTCATAAACAGAGCTGTCACTGTCACAGTGGCAGAGATGAAGGTTAGACATGAACTCAACAACATAGGTTTCCATTCAAAAAAGGCAAACTTGACTACAGTCAGTGCTGAGTAACAAGAAGCAAAGACAAGCATGACTCCCTGGCAGGAAACCATTCCTGAGGGTCATCAGACAGCAACAGATGGTATGTTAACTACACTGAGCCACTTTCATAATGCAAAGGGGCAGTATTTTGTCTTACGTAAATACACTCACTCTAGATAATGGCTTGCTTCCCTACATGAAATGTTTCTGCCGTAACTATCTATGGACTTGCCTGAAGGTATTCCATACAGTATCACCGCAGATCAAGAAACTCACTTCACAATAGAAGTAAGGTAATGAACCTATATGAACATCCATGAAAAGTCCAGGCCATATCCATGGATGACTAGGATAGCATTCATGCATTTTGCTTGATCAGAAAGAAACTTTCATCTCATCACCATCTGAGTTCTGGTTCTTTGGACTTGAGTAAGGTGCCGGTCGTATTGTCTACTGCTCTTATATTTAATCAGTCTCCAAAGCTAGCAGCCTAGAATCTCACCTGCCTATCTTGGATTTATTTGGTTGAAAAGGTATAGATTGTTATTGCTATGCAGGTCAGCAGAAGCCACCTACTGTCTGTCATGTAAATCAGCAGAAGCCTCTACCGTAAAGACTGACACAGACTTGAAACTTACCATCTTCTACAAGCATGTGGGTTATTTCATTTATATCTTTCTCTATTCCTTTGTCGTTCTTTGTATATACAGACAGAGAAGTTTTACTTCCCTTAGAGAACTCAGCCTAAAACAATGTCTATGCAGCAAGAGGTCTAGTGAAGAACCTAATCGAGACTGGAGGAACACCAAACATTCTATGTTTCCAAGGAGGGGGGACGGAAAAAAAAAGACTTTGTATTATTTAAGAATTTCAAATAAGTTCCATCAAAAAACTGTAGCAATTGGATCTATGAAAGCTTAGAACTCTAGGGAATGGCAAAGGACACACTGACAAAGAAGATTAATCAGGACTGGCTTTGACAAGCACAGTGGCATTTGGACAAGAACAAACTGGGAGGAGGGTAGAGAGAATAGTGCAACAATGAATGAATGGAAACCCAAAATCTCTGTAAATGTTTATGAAAATTAATAAAATATAGAAAAAAAAAAAAAGAAGTTCCACAAGAGGCTAAAACTAAAAAAAAAAAAAAAAAAAAAAAGAACTCTCATACTCTTCTTCCCTGCCATCAGACACCAACATATTTCTCTCCCCCAAAACCATTTGATTTCACAATTACGAAGTACATTAATATTCAGCTAACAGTTTTCAATTGTGGCATATTATAAGACGCTCTAAGTGGCACAATGGTTAAAGTGTTGACAATTAACAATAAGGTGAGTGTTAGAATTCACCAGCCTCTAGAGGAAGATGATTTTTCAGGAAACAAATGGCAGTTTGTCAGAATGTATAAGTTCTACTCTACCCAACTGGGAGAAGGATGGGCAATATAATGCCTCTGAAAACCCAATGGAGGGTCAGCTATGGGTTAGTTTCGACTCAGTGGTACTCAATAGCAACTCTATCCAAGAGGGGCACTAGGAGTCAGAATCAATTCTGAATGAGGTGGGAACCATATTGCATACTTGGTATAAAATATAATCATTTCTTCGTTTACACTACTGGATTTCCTTGAAATTAACGATTTTCTATTTTTCACTGATCTGTTTAAATTACTTGTTATGCTTCAGAAAGCTGGACAATGACTAAGGATGACTGAAGAAGAAATGATGCCTTTGAGTTCTGGTGCTCGAAAAGAGTCTTGAACATACCATGGACTGCCAAGAAAACAAATAGGTCTGTCTTGGAGAGGGTGAAACCAAATTTCTCCTCAAAGGCTAGGATTCTGAAGCTCCATCTCACATACTTCAGGCACATGTCCAGGAGGGGCCGGTCTTTGAAGAAGCGTATCATGCTCAGAAGGGTGGAGGGACAGTGCAGGAGAGGAAGACCCCATATGTGATGGATTAATATAGTAACTGGGGCTATGGGGGTAGGTATGCCAGAGTCAGAGAGACTGGCTCAGGACAGGGCAGGCTTCAGAGCTGTTGTACATAGGTTGCAGGCAACTCAATAGCACATAACAATAACAAAAACTTAATTTACATTTACAGGCTAATAAGACAAAAGGAAATATTTAGCACACACTTGGTTTAACTTAAAATTCTCTACTGTTGTACTGTGTACTGTTGAGACAGAACCAAGTCATAGCTGATCCTTCAGCAGTTTCTCAGAAACAGTAAAATCACATGGGAAGAGGTTGTCCATCTTTCTCCTGCAGACTAGCTGGGGGATGTGAACCACATACCTCTGAATAAAGCAAAATTCCATACCATTAAGCTCTGGACTGCTAAGAAAACGAACAGATTCATCCTGGAGAGGGTTAAACCAGGCTGCTTCTCGGAAGCTAGCATTCTGAAGCTTCGGCTGACATCCTTTGGACATGCTGCAAGGAGGGACCAGTCCTTAGAGAAGGACATCATGCTTGGGAGGGTGGAGGGATGGCACAGGAGGGGAAGACCCTCTATGAGGTGGACTGAGTCAGTAACTGGATTAATGGAGTTGCGTATGTCGGATAGAGACTGGCACAGTACAGAGTAGGGTTTAGGGCTATTGTACGTAGAGTCGCTATGAGTCACAGACAATTTGACAGCACATAACAGCAAGCTCTAACAGTTCTAGGT